TACATCTATGTTAGAGAAAATATGCACTGGATCTGCTCAAAGATGCTGGAATGCTTGGAGGAAAATTCTCCACTTTGCCATTAGATCAAAACACAAAGTTATCTAAGGATCAAGGGGAGCTAATTCCTGATCCTAAAGTTTATATGAGATTGATAGGTAGACTCATGTTTCTTACATTAACCAGACCCGATTTAGCCTACTCAATTTAGGTATTAAGCCAATTTATGGAGAGCCCTAGAGATGAACATCTCAAGGCAGCATACAAAGTTCTGAAATACCTCAAAGGGACACCAGGCCAGGGATTACTCTCCTCCAGCACAGGTGCTTAAAGTTGAAGGCCTATTCTGACAGTGATTGGGTTGGCTATCCCGATACTAGAAGATCTGTGATTGGATACTGCGTTCTGCTTGGAGACTCTTTAATTTCTTGGAAATCCAAGAAGCAGCATACGGTGTTGAAGCTGAGTACAGGGCCATGGCTAGTGTTTGCTGTGAGCTTAGATGGATTATGTATTTGTTGAATGATCTGAAGATAAAACATAAAGAAAGGGCAGAGCTATTTTGTGATAACAAAGCTGTCATGCACATAGCCGCTAATTCTGTCTTTCATGAAAGGACAAAGCACATAGAGCTGGATTATCATCTTGTTAGAGAAAAGATACAAGAAATAAGCATAGTGACCAAGCATGTCAATAGTAGGAGCCAAGTCGCAGATATATTCACGAAGGCCTTATCTAGTTGGTTGTTAAAGGAACATATGGTCAAGATGGGAGAAAAAAACATCTATTCTCCATCTTGAGGGGGGATGTTGTTTGTTTGGGATTTGTCTTTCTCCCTTTCGGTGGGCTGTGTGGCTTGGTCTGTGGTTTCCAAACCCAGTACGTTGCATTTCATTAAACCAGTGTGTTATGTTTCTCTGCCACTGGGTGTACGTGCATCCCTTCGGCCCTGGTATATATTGATCTTTTTCTCCTGCATCGAATACAATCTTTCAGCCTCTTCTCATTTGAAATCCTGAAAATGGTTTTCTCATTTTCTGCTCTGCTACGGTTTCAGTTCTCTCACGCACGCAAGATATTTACTACATTTTCTCTCAAAGATTGCTCCTTTATGTTGAATATACTGATTGCCAGAAGAAATGAGTAGATTATTAAGTGAAATTGTTGTTATTTTCATTATAGTTATCACAACTTATAGCTCTCATTTATTGAAGATGTTAGAATTCTTTTTGTCATCTCTTGTCTTTCTTAAGATTCTTGTATAATACTATCATGATCATAAGTAACAAGCTATTAACCTAGTATGAAATAATTAACATTATCTATCAAATTCTATTATATATATATATATTTTTTTAAAAAAAAGATTTTCTAAATTCTTTCCTTCAAAAGTAAAACATTTAATAAGTCTACTATAAACTAAAATTCTCGGTCAAATTATCCAATAAAGTTAGCACTAATGATATATACAATAAGTACATCAACTAACCTTTCAGTACTGATAATCAATACAAATAACTAATAATATATAAATTTATTTATCATATTTAATTATTAATGTTACCATGTTATGAGTAAATTATAGCAATAAACTCATCAAGTAAGTCGATTGATATGGAGAGAGTGAGGAAGATAGAGAGACTAAGAGTAAAATATAACTCGATAAGAAAAGATATGATCATATGATTTTAGAGGTGATAAATAAAAAAAAAATTGTCAGTTAATAACTCTAAATAAAAGATATCAGATCCCAAAAATATTAGAAATATATATTTATATAATATATACATATATATGACTAAAAGTATGGGTACACGACTCTTTAGAACCGTTTCTCCATTGAGCCGACTATTCATCTTTTTCTTCCATGCAATGCAACTTAGGGGATGAAAAGACTCATTCGAATGACAACTTCTGGTGCATGTGCATGGCAACGAGTGATAATTTTAAACAATGATTTATGTACTGTTTTATATTTATAAATAAGAAATTGTAAATCAAAATCATCATGTAATCTTTTAGAAATGAATGTCAAATAAATTTATCATTTATCTATCTCGATCTCTATCTCTTTCTTCTCTGCTATCTTTCTCTTTTTTCCCTTTTTTCTCTCTCTACAATTTATTTATCTCTCTAAAATAATCTCTCTTTTTCTCTCACTATAAAATACTCTCTCTTTCTCATCTATGTATTCTCTCTCTAAAGACTGCTTTCTCTCTCTCAAACTCTCTTCTTTTCTCTTCTTGTTCTTCATCTCTCTCTCAAACTGTTCTTCTCTCTTTCCCCAACACTCTCTCTTCTCTCTTTCCAAAAATCTTTTTTTTCTTTTCTGAAATTTTCATTATGCCCATATACTATTTCTTTAATTTTAAATTCTTTCCCACTCTTTTTAATTATTTCAAAATTACCTTAAATATTTAAACTTTCATTTTATGTACTGACCATTTCTTTAATTTTTTAGATTATCTTAAATCATTTAAATTTAATATTTTTTTTTAAAATTCGAATTAGTTAAACTAAATATCAAAGCCCAATTGTAACAGAAGATACATCGGTAATTCTACTCTTTTTCCTATAAACTTGGAAATGTCAAAGCCAACATTTAAAACAACACATCGATCCTCAAATTGTAGAACTTTCTCATCAATTCTCCAAGGAGTAGCTACCACAATATTACTCTCTTCATTCTTCCATGCACTTACAAAAATTACATTAAATTGTTTTGTTATATTTTGTAACCAAAATAATAATAATAATGACATCACTTTTTCGAATCAAATAAAAACAACGTAAAAAGATTAAATCAATTATTTTTCCACTAAATTACTAAAATAAAACAGTTTCAGTCGTAATAACCATTTGGAGGAAGGAAGAACAAAAAAAAAAAAAAACAATTTTTGAACTTGATGATATTTGTAAATTATGATTAAAAAAACATTTTCAAAATAAATCTAAGAATTATAAAATGATGAATATTATTAAAGCTTTTGAATTTTCATTTAGTTTTGATTCCTGATGGCAACCACAATTATTAAAATTGAATGATGCTTTGTAAATTTATGAAGAAATTTTATCCTCTATATTTTACACGATAGGAGAAATTCAATTTGGGATTCGGATTACCATATTTTATTATTGTGCGGCCTTAATCCTTACTCTTAATTACTAATTAATCTAATAATTTTTTCTCCCATTACGGATTATTTTCATTTGCGATTTTGTTAGCAAATCTATTATATATATATATATATATTTATATTTTTTTAAAAAAAAAAAAAAATTCAGAACTAACATTTTTTATAAAGTTCAAATTATTAAATGATAATTCAGGTTTTTATAGGCCATTAGTGGCCGAAAATCAAAAGGGATCCCGAGACAATTGCCCTATAAATCTATTCTGTTGTCTTTTCATGTCAAACATACTTGCAGTTAAGTCTGGTAAGTAAGTACACCACCATGGAAGACAGAGAAGAAGAGGAGATGACTGGCGTGGAAGCCGAAACGGAGGAGACAATGGCTGCCGAAGTTGGACAGGGATGCGCTGAGGGTGGAGACGGAGCTGGCGGGAGTGGGGACGATTCTACGGCGGTTGCGGGAGAAGAAGGGGACGGCGGGAAACTGGACAAGGACAGAGTGAAGGGCCCATGGTCTCCCGAGGAAGATGCGATCCTCGGCCGACTCGTCAGCAAGTTCGGGCCGAGGAATTGGAGCTTGATCGCCCGCGGAATTTCTGGCCGCTCCGGGAAGTCCTGCCGCCTCAGGTGGTGTAATCAGCTCGACCCGGCCGTTAAGCGCAAGCCTTTTACTGGTATTTTACTAATCCCGATCGTTTGATTAGATATTTCTCTCCTTTTGATCTTCAGTTTTAGGTCCATTGAGTTGCTGATTTGTGCTTCTTTCTTTTCAAAATTTGAAAATTTTCAATTAACGCTCTCAACTCTGCATGTATGAGAAGATTATTTTTCGTCTGTATGTGTATGCGGGGTGACTTTTGTGCTTGCTTAGCATAAACCATAAACCATAAACGCGATTGAGATAAAAACGATTGAAGTTTCATATTTGACATGTAGATTAAAAATTCTCTTGTCTGATTCTTGTAAGGATATTCAAATTTTGTCATTTTCGTATCTATGTGGCAAAATTGGTGAAGGAAGAGAAAGGAAACATCAGAAAAGGAGGAAAAAATGCAAGGTTCTTCTGTAACAATTTTCTTTGTAGGAATTCTTCATTATTTATTCATTTTACTATAGTATCGATATGAGAATGTTATGATTGGATTTTAGAGCTGCATTTAATTAGATAACCATGAGATTCTGGGGGAAAGTGGAAACATGTGATTGTTTATGAAGTTTCTTGAGGAAATTATGCCGGTTGGTTAAATTCAACTTCCTTCCTTAGCACTTCCAGAATGAATTACTAATTGAATAATAAAGGAACGAGGATTGAATAAAATGGAATGTATTTGATTGAATTGTTTATGTCCAAACATGTAAATAAGGTATTTTTACGATAAATAGCAGTGTACTAGGTTTTGGAAGGGTAGGCATGACTGCCTGGATCTGTTGCAGATAGCCATCAAGTCCAAAAACAAACAACTTGGCTGCGTCAACTGAAATGTTAGTGTCATGAGCTTAGAGTTGAAACAGAGATTTTATAGTTTTGCGATTTCGTGCGACTAATCATAGATTAAACTACACTTCGTAGCTGGTTTGCTTGGTATTTAGTGTCATAGATAGTGGACTTACGTAGGTAGTTTGTAACGTATAGCTTATACCTATCCTACTTGGACGAAAACACTAGGCATAAGTTACTTCTTAAGTGGTTTATAACGCATAGCTTCTAACTATCAGCCTTATGCTTTCCTGAAAAGACAGGAAATGCTAGGAACTTATTTATCATGCCTCCGATGCATGGTGCCGCCACAGGTATCGTGAGATATAGCTCATTATTTTTTTCTTATTGATTTAGATTTCATTGTCTTGTCATCTGAGTGTTGGAAATGCGGAGGCGTCATGCTTAAAAGGCAAGGTAGTAGCACTTTCCATACTAATGTGCTATAATTTTCGCATAATTGGAAAGGAGATTTTTCTGTATCCTCTCAGCCTCTCAAAGTACTTCTTAAGTTACTTCTTAAGGCATAAGTTACTTCTTAAGTAGTTTATAACGCATAGCTTCTAATTATCAGCCTTATGCTTTTCTAAAAAGACAGGAAATACTAGGAACTTATTTACCATGCCTGCCTCCGATGCATGGTGCCGCACAGGTTTGTGAGATATAATTTGTTAATTATGTTATTTTGATTGATTTAGATTTCATTGTCTTGTCATTTGAGGTTGGAAATGTGGAGAAGTCATGCTCAAAAGCTAGGTAGCAGCACTTTCATGCTAATGCGTGTAATCTTCACATAATTGCCAAGTAGATTTTTCAGTACCTCTCAGCATCTCAGATTTTTTTTACTGCTTTATGATAAATGAGACAGTTGAAACAATTTTATTGCAGATGAAGAGGATCATATTATAGTTGCAGCACATGCAATCCATGGAAACAAATGGGCTGCAATTGCAAGGCTTCTACCAGGGAGAACTGATAATGCTATTAAAAATCACTGGAATTCCACCCTAAGGCGTCGTTGCATGGATCTTGACATGATGAAGACAAATTCTGGAAATATGTTGGAAGATGCTAGCTTAGACAAAAACAAAGCGTCATCTGAAGAAACCCTATCTTGTGGTGATATCAGTTCATTAAGATCTCTGGAAGGAAAAGATGCAAGTTCAGCGGAAGTTTTCGATGAGGAATACGAAAACCAGGAATTAACGGATGGTCCATCATTGCAGGAGGTGAAAGAACCTACTACACTTTTCCATCCAGTAGCACGTGTCAGTGCTTTTAATGTATATAATTCTATTGAAGGCTCAGAAGCTGCATCACCAGATCCAAGACCAGTTCCGATGCGAGGACCTATAGTTCAATCATCAAACCCAGCTGTTGGGATTTGCAAATTGCTTGAAGGAGCTTATGGGGACCAACTGGTGCCTCAGCACTGTAGCCATGGGTGCTGTGTGGCCCAAAGTGGTATGTACCGTCAAGATTCTTTGTTAGGGCCAGAGTTCGTGGACTACTTGGATTCCCCATCCTTTCCAAATGAATTGGCTGCAATAGCCACAGATATAAGTAAGCATGCTTGGCTAAAAAGTGGATTGAATAGCTGTACTACTGGGGTGGTGGATGATGCTACTGGTAATACAATGCCACATGATTCTCAAGTGCATTTACGCCATTTGAAAGAGAACAAAGTGAATGGCCTTTTTCATGCAGACCAGGGGAAGAACAATCTAACTGGAACGATAGACAATGCGTTCTCCACATAGATTTGCTGGCAACTGTAGCTTAAGGTTAGGCCTTTCTAGGTGAATGGTTGTAACACCAGGTTTCACTAGAATGGAGAAGTTTTGCTGTTTTGACATTAATTCCCAATTATCAACTTGTTTATGATACTGAAAAGCCGAGGAGAAAAGGAAGAATAACCAAGAATCAACAGGAAGCAAAGAAGAAGCTTTTCAATAATCATTCAGTTGTTCCATGAGTGCCTTAGATGTGTTGCTGGACTTACCATGTTAAAAATTGATTATGTACAGAAAATCAAGGTAGTCAATATGAGTTATTGGTTAAGTGAGGAGTGGTTCTTTCCATTGTTCTAGTAACTGATATGCTGGGATGATTTTCTCTTCAATTGACAAATATGACCAGTTATTGCCAAATCGTAATTGTTTCAGCATTATGGTATTGCAATTACTATTTGTATACTTATGTTTGTGAGTGAAAGAGAGAGATGTATAGCCAGGCAAGATAACATGCCACAAGCAAAACAGGAATTTTGCAGGTGATGGAGAAAATATCGATTTTGACTCCCACAGTATGAAAATTTTCCTTTAGCTTTTGGGGCTTCAAAGTACAGAGGGAAGCTAGCCTCTTAAGAGTACATATGAAGAATAAGGTAGTGTGTTTGAGGTTGCCCGTCAGGTTGCAAGTGCACTTAGTTTCCCCCAAGCACCGTCAACTTCCTGCATATATAGCAGGCAGCCAGGTATTGTGTTGGACGGTACTCTTCCCACAATTCAGTTAAGCTATGGTCAGTTTTGCAAGTTGACTTTCGTTAGGCTGAGATTGAACAATCGTACTCTGTTATAGCTAAAGCTTTTTTTAGTTGAATATATGCTGATTTTTGAATTCTATGCTAGAAACATGTTAACGATAATTATTTGTTGATGAAGACATCCCTTTGACTTACCCGCACAAAAGGATTTATCTAGTCTACTGCATTGTATATAGAAAAGAATGGTAAGTAGTCAATTATTTGTCTTCCCATTATGGTAAATAAGAAAAGGATTTTTCCCTTGCTTTGTATGTCAGAGGATTAAATAGTCCATAACTTGTCAAGATGGAATTTGCAGATCTCCATAGATTTGCTTTGGTGGGGTCATCTAAGACAATTTAGAATTAGAGCGAAAGTTGAGGATGATCATAGAAAGTGGTCGTAATTTTCCTTCTATTACTACGAGAAAACAAAACATTGAGGACGAAATTTTGCCGGTTTTTTTTATTAGTAAGAGAAAACAAAAACCTTGAATGCTATTGACGGCAAACTTGACTTAGTTGAGGAGTATTTTTCCTTTTATAATACCTTTGATTTTTCTTTTCTTATTCTAGATGAACTAGGTAATATACTTAATTAAATGGTTAAATCATGTTCTCACACGCTGATATTGTATTTAGGCTCAAATTCTTGTCTATTCCTAGTAGGGAAGTAACATTGACGTTAGATTCGTTCATTGAGGGATAACAGATTGATTGATCAATCATAATGCATAAGAGAGTCGTAGAGGGAGAGACATACAAACCTTTTGATATGTAGTCTGAGTATGTTTTTTTAATATGCAGTATACTTCTTCCTATTTAGATGAGAACAATGTATTTTCTTTTCTAAATAACCATGTATAGCTTTCCTTTTCCTTTCAAAGTTTTGAACTGAGTTTCTTGTCTCTTCTGTCCTTGTGGTTTGGTCTAGAATCAGATGAATGACAACATTGCTTGATAATTTTGGATTTTTTACCTTTATATACTGGGATTCTCAATGAAGCTTTAATCTTGAAGCTGTTTGGTGGAAATTGTTGATGGGTTCTTAATCTCTTTGCATATGGTTATGAGGGTGATTAGGAGGTTACAAAGTCCTTTAATTCTTCGGTAGGCATGGTTAAGGAAAGGCTTCCATGGTTTTAAGGTAGTAGACTTGGCCGAAATGAGATATTAGCCCTTTTGACTTCTCTTGGACCGGGGCTAAGGGTCTAAATTCTGTTCCATGTCATTTTAGTCTCATCGCTTCTGCCTTTGAATTTGAAGACAATCTCTCAGGCTGAGAAAAACTTTGCATGCCTTCATTACCCCTTGGGAGGCTTACACCTCATAGAAACTATCTACCTGACCTGTAGGTTTTGAAATGAGGTTAGAATTGTAACTCTCTTAGAGTAGTATCATATTGATGACTTGGTTCCTCAAAAAGGAAGCTTTTTTTTTTTTATCTTCCACCTGAAACAACAAAGTTCTATAGGGTCTTTCTTTCCAGGTACCAGGTAGTTTGCATCTTTTCAAACATGTCTATTTTCAAGACAGTGTCTAGATTGTTACGCATTTCGTGCACGTTAGAAATTATTTGATAAAAAATTTTGCTACACTAAGACTGTTATAGCTCATTCACTGGATCTTGGATCATCAGGTCACTAATTGATTTTTTCATAACTGATTATAAATTGTAACAGAAGGAAAAGTAAAGGCAGATAAAAATTGAAGACATGATTAATTGGTGAACAAAACAGAGACAAGCAGACATGTGGGGGACATGACTTGAATCTAATTTAAAATTGTATTTGGGTTCGTTGGTTTCTGGTGTGAGCAGGCAACCATACAACTATATGAAAAATGGAATCAGTGCAACTTACACACGTTGTCTTTAATAATTTAGTATCTCCACTTTCACCAAATTTTTTTTGGTTTTAAGATGGTAAATTATGGATAAGATTCAAGTTCACAAATTGGGGTTTAGAACACGATCTATGCCATTTTCGACCCATAAAAACTGCTTAATTTTTGCACCTTCTTTTATTTTAAGAAAATTATGACAACTTTCGTTTCAATAAATATTTATAAATATGGTATAAATAAATAAATAATTACCAACTTCATAAAAAAAAAATATATATTTTGTAAGTTCTGGTAATGGGTAATACTAGTTTTTAACTCTAAAAATTGCTAGAAAACATTTGGCACTAAAAGCAACCAACTTTAATTATAATAAAATAATAATTTTTAAGTATCGCAAAAGATCTTTATATGTCACATCCACAGACTACACATTTTAAAACAAAAAAAAAGGGAGTTTAATGAAAGGTGTTCAAAAACTGAGTCATCAAATATATATACACGTACGTACGTACGTACGTATGAGCACTGTGATAAAGTCGAAGCCTGCCATGTTAAGCAATATACGTCTTTTTTTTTTTGGAATAAGCAAGTAAATATAAAATACATTTATCAAAAGTGTAAAAGTTATTTATAGCTAACTTATGTCTGAAAATAAGAATAAAATTATAAAAAAAAAAAAAAAAAAAAAAAAATTCTTTTTTACAAATTGCATAATTTTATAATCTCTTGGCTTTGATATTGAGCTGCCACAAATGCAAGAAAGATGGAGAGGGATTAGATTGATAACAATTTTCATTTTTCTTTTCAAATTATAAAAAATATATATATATATAATAATAATAACAACTAACATTATTAATTTATTTATCAAAATATCAAATAACTTGGTAAAAGCTATAATTACTTAATCACATTTGCTCTCTTTTTTTTTCATTTATTTTTATTTATTTATTAATTAATTAATCATATTATATGCCACACTATAATATGTGTGGCTCAAATGAAACAATTCTGTTAAATGGATTAATTCCTTACTTCTAATCCAAATTCTCACAATTGTATAATAATAAAAAAAATTATCAATTAAAAAAATATTTTGTAAGTGTAAAAATCAAATTATAAAAAATGATTTATTAATTTTTTTTTCAAAAAATTAGCATTATTTTCATGCAGTAAATTAGATGCGGGTGGGTTCAGGAATTGAATTCATTCTTTAATCCTTTTGAAAAAAAATTTCCTTTTTCTTTCTTTTTTATTTAAATTAAAAAATAAATAATTTTATAAGAATTCCTTTTGTGTTCTTCACGCAACAACTCTCACCATAGATAATTACATAGGCGTCCCCGTC